TAGTACCCCAACTTATTCATAGTCTTTTGCACTCACTTTAATGAACGTAGGCGCGAAACCGAACACGGGAGGCCCGGGACCCCAAATAGCACCCTGTCTGGGCGCCAGAGGACGCACCATGACGTCACCGCCTGATTGAACTTAGTAAACGACTATAGTACATAACTTATTCATAGTCTTTTGAACTCACGCGAACGTATATACCATAGCGTACACCGGAAGGCCCGGGGCGCCAAATAGCACCCTGTCGGGGTGCTGGAGGACGCCCGGATTTGATTCACTTAAAGACTATAGTAACCTTTCTTATCCATAGTCTATCGCACTGTTAAAAACAAAATTATGCAGCATAGCGCTCACATGATAGCCCAGGGTGCCAAATCGAACCGTGCAAGGGCGCCGGCGGACGCGCCTGTTTCAATTTAGTGAACAAAAATGATAATACTCCAAGCTTATCCGTAAATGGAAAGAAATAAACATGTAGGATTTGTAGGACCTGGCTTATTAAATGTTATTGATTTAAAAAAAAAATATTGAACAGTATGTTCAGTGTATAGAATAAATAAAAGGCAGTGTTAAAAATACATAACGACATTGCACTTAATCAATCCCCGCTAATTATGTATTTTTTTTTTTCTTAACACCAAAAACAAAGTAATAAAATGTAAATTCTTTCTTCTTAAGAATATTTTTTATTAAAGGGAAGTAACTATGCAGTCAATACATTTCCGACACAATTTTAGAAATTTTATAAACGTCGATACACTTTTTAAAAATTTTATGTCGTGTTCATAATTGAAAATTATTCTTCTAAGTAAATAGAATGAAAATTGTTTTTAAAGACTTTCAATGGTAATTTTTTGACTCTTAAATTTAGACTTCGAGCACGATAAAAAATCTAACACTTAAATCCATAGAACTGTCAACGACAAACTTTTTTGCCACACGTTACAGAACTGAGCTTTATATATTAGATATATAATCAGAAAATCATCTGAAAATATTTACATTAATAATTATACTAATTATCTCATTACGTTAACACGTTAACAGAGGCGTGGCTAGGGGATGGCGGGTGCGAGCCCGATATCAGAAACCGAGACTTTCGGGTTAGTAGTTGTGCGCTCCATGTTTACGTTCACTTTCACATTTATACATTTGCAATCGCATTCACATGCATCTTCTTTGGGAATTAAACTAATTATTAATACCAGTGATAGTGGGTGTTGAACGATGTTTCACATTTGATCCCTAAAACACTAGGTCGAAACGTCAGTTCCCGATAGACACTTGCCGAGTGCCGTTTGCCCTAAGACCGTTTTCCCGAATGGACACTTTCCTCAAATAATTCCTCAGATGGTCGTGAGAATGAGCCGCCAACTGACCTTATTACCCCTAGCCGGTACACAGGTTGGTTTGAAACGAATGCTTTCCCTATCGAAATACAGTTCAGGCAAAGGCGTAGCTAGTGGGGGGGGGGGGGGGGGGGGGGCAGCCCCTGGTGCCTACCCTAGGTGGCGCCAAAATGAGTAGAAAAAAAAATTAAAAGCTCATTTTAAATCTTTTCTACCCCTTTTGGCAGTTTTGAATTATAAAAAAGTCAGTTAAGAAAAAATTTAACGGTTACAAGCCTTTACATACTGATTTAACTGTTTTCTACGTTAACTGTATGGCTGTGAAATAAGAAACAGATGCCGGCAAAAACCGCCTTCCGTTTTTTCCTCGATTGGGGTGAGTAAGGGGGGGAGGGGGGGTTCGTCAACTAAAAAAGCAAAGATCTATACGTAATTGTTGATTTGATCTTTTTTAACACTAGGAAAAAAAAACAATTGTATTATGCGCATTGTGGTGGGGGGGGGGGGGGGCGCTTTTTAGCCAAAGTAAATATGAAGTATTTACACCGAAACGGTAAGTAGATAAATTGTTTAACACTTACAATATAAAAAAAAAATCTTTCTTAATAGTTATATCGTCCATACTGACAAAATCCGATTTTGATTCGGGTGTGTGCCTTGACACGCTAAAGCCCTGATAGAGACTCACAGAACCTCTGGAGTTTGATCTTACCCAGGCTATGAACCAATGCTCTGAACGCTTTAATTTCCGCCTTTTATTAGTTTCGGCTTTGTAGGAGCATAAGCTTTGGCAACACCTCGTCAACTCGCTTGATGTAATATGAAGATCGACCCCTGATAATTTCAAACGATGTCCACTTTTTTTTTTATCTCGTCCTCTTCCTCTTTCCCCGTGGACTTTTCACCAGCACCCGCTTAGTGATTTTATTACTTCATTCTCCACTCTTCACTGTGATCACCTTGCTCGGGGCATACAGTAAAAGATACTTAACATTTAGCTATAGATCTTTATTGAATTTTTTTCATTTTAAAGTCAACGAAATACCCATGTCGTACAATAACTGTTTCTGATAATTTACCATTGTGTTTCACTTGTACGAACAAACTCATAATCCAGCTATGTAATAAAACATAATAGACTTTCCAAAGACAGAAAAAAAGTGGCTTAAACAAATTAGCCCCTCCTACAAACTGCCTTTTAAACCCAAATCAAGCTTATTTTCCTTATGATATTAATAATCTTTTTACTTTCTCGTATACCTTTCAATTACTGTGTGTGTGTGTGTGTGTGAGTTTGTGTGTGTGTAAACACGATAACTTGACTACCCTTACAGCTAGGTTGATGTAATTTCATATATAAGAATTATATCAAATTTGTAGCTCTATTTCAACTTTTTAGCGATTTCCGATAGCCAGAAGTGGAACTTATTTTACTTTCAATTTTTCAAAAGCCTATAACTTGAGTACTATTTCAGATAGATAAATGAAATTTCACATATAAGTAAAATATATTTTGTTTTTGAGTTCACATGGTGCGCAATTCTTTTTTCTACGCGATTCTATTTTTAAAAGTTTAAGTATTAAAAATAGATTTGGATGAATTCGATAAATTAATATTTATGTCTGAGAATGGATGAATCCTTAAGAGGACACAACATATCAAGACCTGACTTTCTCCCTATCCCCTACACAATAAACCCCTAATGGATGCTCCTCGGATTTGGATCCCTATGTCCTTTATCTGTCCCCCCCACACACACACACTTCCTTTGCACACCACTAACTGTAAAAAAAAAACCCTCTTCTTTGCGCATTTTGTGTTTGCGCATTTTTCTCTGTGCGTAAATTTTTGTTTTCGCTTTTTCCGTTGCGCTTTTTCCTGTTGTGAATCTTTCTGGGAACCACTGAAAATGAAATCAACCCAATATAGAAATGCAGTCATGTACTGTAAACTATTTTTAGTAAAGCATATGCGTCATAGCCTATATAAGTATCACCAATCCCGATTTTACTTAGTACAATTACTTTCAAATTCAGGAGATACTTTTTACGTTTCGAAACTTGTTTATTTTGCTTTTTATTTCGAAAGTGACGATTCACCAGTTTTTCGATTTGTCTGAGTCTGAATTTTAGTTTTCTTACTAGGCTTTTATTGATGTTTATTTATATTGACGCTTTATATACAAGAATATTACGATTATGTTTAAGAGGGGTAAAAATAAAATATCATTATTAGGCCAACCGATATCAGGGCAGAGACAAAGGTCAAAGTGTGCATTAATAAGCCAACATACCTTTCTTTAACAGGAAATTGCAAATTCCACAAAGAAATTTCCTTTTAAAATCTTTAAAATGTTATTTGATCTAAACACCAATGAAAATGAAAGGAATAGTGAAAGTGAAATGTATTTAAACAGTTTAAATAACCATTTTATGGTCATTGTCTTACCAGCAATTGTTGTCTTGGGAATTCTGATGCTTATTGGTGGAGTCGGTAATTCATTGGTACTCTATGTTTATACATGGAAAAAAAATTGTGGAACCATAACACGCTTTATTCAAGCTTTGGCAATGTTTGACCTCCTTAGCTGCTGTATTGCTATTCCAGGTAGTATTATCACTAAGTTATTTTACAATGAAAGTAAATTTTTCAGTGACTGTGCATTTGAAGGGATATTAGGGTACCCATTAAAGTTAGATGGACAGGGAGCCACCGGCGCTCATGATAACTTGAGCGTAGCAACCCCTCCCGGCGCCCGGGACGAACTTTTCTAATTATATATATATATATATATATATATATATATATATATATATATATATATATATATATATATATATATATATATATATATATATATATATATATATATATATATATATATATATATATATATATATATATATATATATATATATATATATATATATATATATATATATATATATATATATATATATATATATATATATATATATATATATATATATATATATATATATATATATATATATATATATATATATATATATATATATATATATATATATATATATATATATATATAGCTACGATATAGCTATCATTCATTGTGTCACAATGTTACTATGATGCTTAACAAAATTATTTCAAAATTGTTACACAGGTGAAATTATTGACATGACGAACAACTACACTTTTGGGAGAAATATATTTTGTCAGTCTGTTCGTACTTTGAATCTTTTCTGCACTGTAGGATCTGGTTGCACGCTAGTTGTTGTCGCAATTGACAGGTATGTTTAGCATGTAAAATACATAGACGCTACCATACGATTTGGTTTTTTGAATTGGGTCCGTGATTCAAGTAAAGGTCATAAGTCAAATTAAAAACAATGAGATCACATTTTTTGTTCAAAATATTCAACATAAAGAAAAGAAATATGCAAAATAATTTTTTAAAAAATTATATTCAAATTTTGCAAATATTATTTTGAGCATGGTTTTGGAATTGATTTTTTTTTATGAAAACATATCTTAGACAAAAAGTGGCAACAGTTATTGTACATAACTGTTTTTCTAATAGCTTTGTAGAGCAAAGACAATAAGCCAAATAAACAATATGTACCAAAACAAGCATCGATACCGCTTAGAATTATGAATATTAAATATATTTTAAAACATTTGAAAGGAGAGCTTATAATTATCAATGCATTTTTCCGCGAATTTTTCAAAAAATTCTGTATGCAAACAAGAATTAGATTTTTTTTTTTTTCAGGCAAGAAATTTTGTGCAGTACGCAGACAAATTTTACTAGTAGAACTAGCCCTAGACAGAAAGAAACTTCAATAAACTTTGTAAACTACAAATTCTTGCTATACTTATACTACTAGAAATCTAAATTTACTTTTGAGCGTCTGCATTACGACAATTGATTATCAAAATAACATTTAATGTTACTCCACATCGAAAAACGATAATTTCCAAGAAATATTTTTAAAAGTATTCGTGTAAATATTGATCTAATACAAAGACAATTTGATATAATGATGCCCATTTTTTAAAAAAATTGGGCTTCAAATCTTGAAAATTAAGACAAAGGAAAGTTAAGAACACAACCAGATAATATTAATAGTTATACATTATTTTTTTAAAAATTCTTCTTAAATTTAAAATAATGCATGTGAATACAACTTTAATATCAAAATTTAAAATTTCTAGTAATATGTGGCTCAGATATGTTATTATTCAAACAACTGCTGCCTTGTAGTTTGTACTTTTGGATAAAGGCTGTGCAAGCAAACCCAAAAAGAAAAGTAGGCTGAAATCGGAGTTTATAGCAATGGCGCATTGACACGTATACTTAATTGTTTTGGAGGGGATCCCTTCCACAACTAAATTTAAGAACGAAGAAGGATTCAAACTATGTCAATCACCTCAAATCATTAAATTGCAAATAATAAAAATAATATCTGAATTTAATGGATATTTTAACAATAAATTATCTTTTTAGATATAAACGAATATGCTCACCACTTAAAAGACAAATATCTCCAAAAGAAGCTCTTTTTATATTGTTGAGTTGTGCTCTGCTCTCAATTTGCATTTCAATGCCCACTGCTTTTGTGTTTGGCGGAAAGACAGTAACAACCAACAACAGTTTAGTAAATGGTTCAGACTGTTCCATTAATGATCGGTATGTTTTTTCTTTAATAATTTAATTTTTATAATAAAAAACAATATCATTTGTAACTAATGACTTTTGTTTATCAACAGGTTTGCTGGAACCTTTTTTCCACTTATATACAATGGTTTTCAAATGACTCTTTTTATAATTGGCGCTCTGATTTTGATAATTTTGTATTCTATTATTGCAAGACGAATAATTTATCAGGCGCGTCGGCAACAAAGACGTCATAGCTTTAACTTTGGAGTATACTTCGGAAGTGGAAGCAATTCTATGTGCTCATCGCCAACAGAAAACCAAGTTCGAAATTTCAATACTGCACTGGGACATAATCACGCTGAATATTCATTTTATTTAAAAACTAAGAGTCTTCTGATAAATCAAAGTATTCATTCATTTGATCTTAGCAATAAAAGAAAAGTAATAAACGGTGCTGCAGACTCATTCGAACCACATCCAAGTAAATTTATAGCTAAGAAAATATATAGGCCAACTTCAGAAATTGATTTTAAAATGAACCTCAGCAAAACAACATCTCATATTGCAAACAAAATTGTTTTTGGAAAACAGTCATTTACTTTTTCGACTACACATTTAGATCTAGATACATCAAATTTTGATCAAAACATAAAGAGATATTTATCTTTGCCTGTTTTGTGGCAATACAAATGCACATCACAATCATTTTTAGTTACTGAAAGAGAAAAGCAATCAGATCTAAATATAACAAACATAGTTAAAAAAGATAATATGCTGTATTCTCAAGTTGACGAAAATAATAAAACAAGTGTATTAGATCAAAAGAACAAAATATCAAATAAAGTCAAAGAAACAAGCAATGAGTTTAAATGCTCAGGCTTTAGGAATTCGAGTAAAAAAAATCAAATTGAAAAAAGGGAATTCAAATCGAAAGGTTTGTTATTTTTCTACATTTTTTGTTTCTTTATTAAACCAAACTTTTGAGTGATCCACACACCACACCACAAATAGGAATGGTAGCATGTACACCCCTTTCACACCACCTCACACCTAGTAGTTAATACAAAATAAAAAGTATAGCTTTAAAAATTAACGCTGTAGATAATTTATGAAAAGTAAAATTTGATATATTTTTATTATTTACCTGATCAAGCCCAATCCCAGAAGTAACAATAAAACAATATTTATTTAAAAATCCCGTATTAAATTATTTTACTTTAGGTGATTCAGTACATTTTGCAAAAAGAAAGTTCGGGTCACTACGAGGCTTACAGGATTTTAAAAATATTCCAAAAGTGTATGATTATCAAGGTAAATACTTAGAAAACATAATTTATGAAAACTGGAAGATCAAATTTATTTTAAAGGAAAAAAAATGAAAGATACAAAAAAGAATTTTAATTTTCTTTTCAGGAATTAAAAAGACAACTTTAATGCTTTTTTCCATTACATTGGTGTATATTCTGTCGTTTCTACCTCATTTGGTTCTGATGACATTGAAATCGCTTGATTTACTGGATGGAGCTGACACTCGGGGAGATCTTGTCCACAATCTGTTAATCCGTTCCTACTTTATCAACAGCGTTTCTAATCCAGTAATTTATTCTTTTTTTTCAAAATCATTTTTTAGAGAGTGTCGCTATGTATTAAAATGTTTAAATAAAAAATAAAAAACGAAAATTATATAAATTATTTAACACAGAGAGAAATATACCATAGGGGCTAAACCATAGTTGTCACTACTTTCCTTATACCCCCCCCCCCCCCTTCATGGTTCTCATCCTTGTATTCACCTCACTATCCCAATTTAGCATCAGTTATCTCCTTAGAACGCTAATTTGGAGGGAATATTATTGGGGCATGACATCAGTAAACAGCTAATTCACATTTCTGATATATGAAGTTAGTTGAACAGTAATACATATATATAGGGTTCTAGCTAACCCAAATTAAGCAACACTGATCTAAACAATATGAAACATGTACAACTGGAGTACTTTATTATTTTATACAAAAACGTTTTAATATTTGATAAAGTTCAAATCTGGTCTGATCTTGTAAAATACACTCAGGTTACAAATAATTGCTTCAGACAATTATGTTTTTCTTAGACTTTTGCTATAAATTTGATTCAATTTCAGGATTAGAGCCTAGCTGCTTATTGTAAACATTATTGTAAAGTATGAAGCCAAAAGAGTATATTCAATTAATAAAAAATGCTAATTTTAATTAAAAAAAAAAAACTACTATCCTAGTCAGATATGGGGTATAATTAATATCAATCTATCAATTACAATTTGCATTTTTGGGACCGCGGGGGGGGGGGGGGGGGTGTCTTCTATATTCAAATAGGAACTAATTAAAAAAAAAAAAAGCCAATTAGCACAATATTTTGTGTGATTTAGATTTGTCTAAATAATTCACTTGGCCATCTAATATACCGATTCTGGATGCATAATAAAGATTAATAAATAAATGAATAGAAATTATACCAGTCGGACGCAAGTTATCTATTTTTTAATATTGAAAGATAATTAGACAGTTAACGGTACAACATCAGTTTTATTAATTAAAAAAAAATCTGCATAAGCATTGAATTTGTTTTTCTTTTTTAATTATTTAATGCGGTGATTTACATTATGTGCATTTATGTTAGCCTACCATTCATGAATTAATTTTGTGAAAATTTTTTGAGAAAAAAAAATCTTACAACGTGGGCTGTGTAGAAAATAAAATTATTAATTAGGCAATTGACTTTTGTTTTGTCAAATAATGTTTCTTTTGCAAAATAACAGTATGTAGCAATTTTGGTACAGTATGCAACGGTCAGTAAAAGTATGTTGAAATTGTAAAAAATGTTTAATCATTATTGGAAATTTTATTGAATAATTTTTGGTTTTCTGGAGCATCAGAAATTCATTTACAAGATAGCAATTTACATTTTTTGCACTATATTGCCATTACCAGTTATGTCATATTTCTTAGTAATCATGCAACTTTTTTGTTGTGTCAATCAATAAGCAGCCTCTTTGCTCAGCAGGTCCTCTATCTAGATAATTTGAACTTGTAATTGCAACGTAGTTTTAAATTACACAATCTTGTTGATAGGAAAGAAAATGCTGATATTTGGCCATTATTAGAACTTTTCAGTGCAATGAAACAAGATACATGACTGTTAGAAGCCAAAGAATTGATGCATATCATCTATATCAAAGGCTTCATGATTTAACTGGATTCCTGTGTGTAGTGTATATAGAAAATGTGTTCAGCCATTCTAGCATTCTATTCGTGGTGTGAAATAAAATAATCTTGAACAGCTGAAAGGCCTTGCACGAAGTGTCAATTCCTATTCATCACAAATACTAGAGGACATTCATTTTAGTTAATCTTAAATATTATAAAATGCAGGCCTACAACTTATGAATGTATATCAGAATACATTCTAACACTTAACTTGCTCCGAACCAACCCCTTTACGTTCTCTAAATTATTTTCAGTGTTCAATTTCAGTTACAGTAACACTTTCAAAATCAGGTAAATCAATAGATGAATTAGTAATGCAAAGTGATGAGATTACTGATCAAAGAAATAAGCAGTCTCTATTTCAGATTGAATTCAATTGTGAGAATCTTTACTCATTCAGTAAAAAGAAGTTACTACTAAAACAAGCTATATATTATTTTTAGATTTATTTAATTTATCTTCATACATGGCCAAATTAAATTATAATTCAAATAAAAATAATGTATCACTGCTACTTTTTATATACAAGAGGATTATTTTTTTTTTGAGTGTAAGTACAATGTCAATCAAATATTATTATGCCATTATTTTACAATATTTACCACTACAATATTTACTATAGGCCCATAGTAAGTTTCGCGACAAAATTTATCGCTCGCTCTAGACAAAAAGAGATCCTGTAAAAATATGTCTGCACTAAAACAATCTCTAATCATCATTCATAAACTTCATTTGGTTTTAATTACTATTACAAAGATAAGTAAACCACCGCTTCCTATAGGAATATTATTTTGTGTAACGGTATGTAGTAAATAATAAGTAGACTAAGTATGCAGGCCTAGGCCTAAAATTATTATTTTCTCAAAAAAAAAAAACACCTCGATCACAACTGTCCGACCAGTGTAAAAAAAAAAAACGCATTAAAACTCGAATTGTGTGAAATGAAACACACCTGAAGTCTATAAATTAAGGTAAAATATGAAGCTAGAGTATGGCATTTGAAAACAGTTTTTAACATTTATGTAGATTCATTCTGGGTTATTTGCATTGTTGGAAGTTATTAGCGAGTTGCCATAGTGATGATAGCTGAACCCTGAACCTGAATTCCCAACTTCCGTTTGACCTTAGGTATTTAAGGGCCTATCTGTTTATGCTAATGAGCAGAGCCCACGGTCTACATTTAATTACGATAAGATGTTTTAAAAATTAATCGCGTTTTATTTCTTGTATTTTGTTTGAAACCTCACCAAGTATTAGTGTGCTCAAATATAAGGTAAGTTCGGATAATTAATTATATACTTAAAATTTAAAGTCAGAGAAACGTATACTAATGAATCAAGTCTAAGGGTCGAAAAAAATCAATATCTGTTAAAAAATTTAGTCTTAACCTTCCACATAGGCAGAAAAGTCGACCGCGAGTAAGCCTTATTTTCGCGCCAAATTCCCAGTATTCTAGATCTAGTAAAAATTAATCTAGAAATCTAGATCTATTAAGAAATAGACTAGTTAATTTTGTTTAGGGCCTAGATCTAGTTACAATAATTATAATGTTTATTATTTTATTTTTTGCAGAAACTTGCATTCTATTTCATCCAAGGAGTCTAGATCTAGTCTAGATCTTGTAAAAATAGTAAGACATTGTTATTGTTAAGATTAGATTTAGACTAGTTCAGGCATAATTCTCCATCAAATAGGCCTAGGCCTATATATAATTTTTTTATAAAGCCCTATGCTATGCCCTCTATTATTTCAGCAGATTATTTAGACCTCTTTATTAATGCCAATTTCAGTACTTGGTAATTTTTTAAAAATATGAAGTTAATACTAGTCTTATAGTAAAAAAAATAGGCCTATACATAGGCCTATTGGTACTTGGTAATTTTTTAAAAATATGAAGTTAATACTAGTCTTATAGTAAAAAAAATAGGCCTATACATAGGCCTATTGGTACTTGGTAATTTTTTTAAAATATGAAGTTAATACTAGTCTTATAGTAAAAAAAATAGGCCTATACATAGGGCCTACAGCTTGAGTAAATTTGTTTTCCTTGTAAATCTTATTTGTTTATAGGCAAGACTAACCCAGTGTAAGGAGGATTGCCAATGAAATCAGAAGATGGCTGAGATAAAGCGGCTGAGGAGAACAGAGACTTGTGAGTGGAATAGGTTGGTGGAACTTGTGTACAGCCCTATCTATGTTCAATGTCTCAGGTGGAAGTACATTTAGTAAGTATGGAGGCTGAATTTATTTCTAATTTTTATATTTATTTTATATACCTTGCAATATATATATTTTGTGAAATGGTCTGTTTAATTCTTTCCATTTGCCCTTCTCTTTTCAGGTACAGTTTTCACGGAGATCCAGCTTTTATTCAAGGCTCATCTTAAAAAGAATGATGGGGCTGCTGGGACATAACTAAAATCTACATTCAACTGCTTGCAGATCTCAAGAAGCCTGGGGTTCAAGAGTTACAGAGTTTCATTTGTAGTATACAACTTTATTTTTTAACATTAGTGTTTTTATAAGTTGTTACTGAAAAAATGCTTGCTGTGAATTGTAAAAATTTTGAAAACTAACACTAACAATGTTTATAATTAAGTTTTGTTTTCATAATGTAAAAAAATAATTACATTTTAATTACGTAACTTATTTTTCAGGGTAATTTGAATCAGCAAGATAATCCTAGAATCATTAGTTATGTGCTTCAAAAATGTTGGTCCAAACTAATTTAAATTATTTTCTTTTTCAGTTTGATCACTCAAGTAGTAAAGCTTTTTTTTTTTGATACTTTAGAAAATTGTTTTTAAACACTTAAGTAATATAAGAAATTTGTTGTCACTTATTTTTTTTTCCAGCATACACTTAAGGCATGGGTGTTTATTCCTTGATAATTAATACTATTTTTCTTCTTGAAAGGGATCGTAATGAGACGAGGCTGATTTCTTGTACTGTAGATTTGTTACTTCACACTTATTATGATTATGTAACTGTTTTACATTACTATGTTGAATGTAGATTATACAAAGGCTAAATTTAGGTTGTCGCTATGTAATTTATTTCTTTGGTCTAATAAACATATTTTTAAATTATTGCAAAAAAAATATTTTTTTTTTACTTTGCCATTCTCCTAAATGTTTCTATTTTATTAGACAAAATCAAAATTCATGTGGTGATCTGATTACTGTATTTTAATAATTTATATTTCTTTTAGCAAACATTGAAATGTCTGTATTGTCAGTATTGTAACATTGAATTGTTTACTAGTAATAAATGAATACTGGTACACACTTTGACAGCTGTTTCCGTTTTATTTTATTTTATAATTTTATTATGGCCTACTGATATAGACATAGATATCAAGTACAAAGGGGTGGGGGGGGGGGGAGGTCTGAGAAAGTAACGTCAAGGCAACCAGTTGCAACTTTCATTTCTCATGTAGTGTGTGTGTAGGTCTACTCTACTTCATCTACCCAAGTATTATCGTTCATTACAATAAGAACGTGTGCAGTAATATGTGCTTGTGCATTTCTATAATATAATAATAGTAGTAACAGTATTAAATATTAATAATTCGTTTTACAATAACTAGATCTAGTTTTATTTTAAACCTACATTAATTTTTTTTTTGTACATGGAGCAATAAGTCAATATGTTATGAGGCTGACAATGGCATGTAATTACTCATTCAAATCACATCCAGTCCAGTATAACTTAGGCTTTAAGCTTGATTATAATTTTTTAGTTTTTCAAAAAATGCGAATCCCGGATGATGCAATAAAATTATTTTTTTTTTATTTTTCGAAAAAAATGCGAATCCGTGATGATGCAATGAAAAAACAAACGGTGCCAACTTTTTTGTTTATGTAACATTGACTTTAATGACGAAGGTCTAAGCTGTTTTAGCCATGCCCACAAATTTTTAAAAGGCCATATCTTAGCTCCTAATTAAGCTAGAGACACAAAATTGGTATCAATGTGTAGGGGAAAAAATCGTTTTTTTTTGTGGTATAATTTTTTTTTAAATTAGTGGAGTTTAAAATTTACGAGCAACAGCCTATTGTTATTCTGATTTAAGCCCATTCTACAATTGTATCAAAAAGTTTTCAGACATAGATAATTAGGCTACATTGTGTAGAGCAGCTATCCAATCCTCCAATCCTCTTCACGGTGGGACGGTTGTTGGGGCACCATGATTGCCTCTTCCCAATGCCATCCGTTTAGTCCTCTGATACCCTCAGTCATTGCTGCCTGATGCCCTCATTACTTAAAATTTTCAGGGGGTTGGGGCGGGTTAAAATTTCCGGGTGGGGGGGGGGGATGCCAGGAAGTTTTCAAAAGTCGTCCCAGATGTCATTTAGCCATCCTTTTTTGTTACCATTGCTATGCCCTCCCCCTCCCCGCACAAACACTGGCGTATATTTGGACATCAAACATCTCATTTCTGTGTCTCAGATCCGTCTCTGGGGTCTGTATTGAGTGTTCATGGTTCTCATCCACGTATTCACCATGCAATCCGAACAGATCCCAATTTAGCACCAGCAGTTTCCTTAAAAAGTTGCGTAAAAGTTAACAAGGTAAAAAGGGTATCGGGAAACTAGAGGGGAGTATTATTAGGGCAGGAAAACAGTAAACAGCTAATTCACATTTCATATATATGTAGCTTGAGCTGCCTTATATGAAAAGAGTTGAACAGTAATACCATCTGTTTTTCAACCAACCCCATGACTAAATCTTCACCTAAACCGTGACCATTGTCATTCTTATATGGTCATTTAAGAGAGTTTGGTCTTTTGTATGTTACTATTGCTCTGTTGTGAAAGGCTGGTCTGTTGAGAGATGCTGGTGTCTTGTATGGTAAGAGTGGTCTGTTCAGAGATGCTGGTCTGTTGAGAGAGGCTGGTCTATTGATAGATGTTGGTATGTTGTGAGAGGTTGGTATGTTGAGAGAGGCCTACCATAAAATACATTTTTAAACACGTAGATAAACCCTCATTCTAAAGCTAGAAGTGAATTAAAAATAATTAAATTTGTTGCACAATCTTTTGGAAATATAATTCTAATATTGTTTTGAAGATCTAGTTAGCCTAAAAACTGCATCAGTTTGCCATTCTAAAAATAACCGTTACGATGCATTGCAATGTTTAAAAAACCTCTACGGGTAGTACCACTTGGCAAGAGGGGTGTTAAGTTTAATGCAACTGTATAATGTATTTGCTTACGAATAATTGAATTAGAAAATGTTATACATAAAACTTTACACATAATTACTTTATATGTACAGTTTGAATCGTGTGATTAATTAAAAAAAATTACATTACAGAAACAAATACAACTGATGTGGCACCTCTATTTAAATTTACTGATGAGCAAACTGCGTAGTGGTGGGGAAATTTCGACAAGGTCAACAACATCAACACGATGAAGTAGTAGTATTCTTACAGTTTGGGCGATAGTGATTACGATTACAAATTATATGAAACAGTTATAACCCAACTTCCTCCATGGACCTCTGTAAAAAAAATATTGTCATAATACCACTGCTACTTATTTAAATCTATTTCTGTAATATATATTTGTGTAATATATATTTGTGTAATTTTTACGTATGTTTAAAACAGTCATCTAAAATCTGACACTGTGTTCACTCTGAGTTGGTTATCTCCCTCCCCCCCCCCCCCCCCACACACACACCTAACCCATAACTATAACTATGTTAAAAAATGATCTTTAAAGATAGCAGTAGTTATTTAAAAATATATGATCTGAGCTAAAAGACCGATATTTAGTTTTATTCCGAATGTTTTTCTTTTATATCGAAAAGCGTGGTTTTATACCAACTCTGATTTTTAAAAGCTTTCATTATGCTGTAATACTTTAGCATTTATGATGACGATATATTAAATTATGATTATAGACAAAAACATTTTGTAAACACGAATAGTGTTAAACAATTTGATTATATTCTAAAGTAATTATTTATTTGTTTTGACATTTATAATTAAATATGTAGATATCTACATATATTTATATTTATATTAAGAGAGTGATTATTTCCCCTATTTCACTTGTCTTAAATAATTTCCCAGGAATTATTATGTAAGAAATTCGTTTACAAGAAATACAAAACAGATTGTGTTACGTTCATTGTTTTTGGCTGTAGTGTGTGTAGATTTTTGTTTTTGTTTTTGTTTAGATTGATACAATTTTTGTTTTGTCGGCCTACATTGTGTGTTTTTACAAGCTTTTATTTATCTCGCTTCCTCTGTCTAGATCGAAACGCCGGAGTGACACTTCTACGTGACCGATACGATTTACAGTTAGCACGTGGGTCAAGACATGAAGACAATGCAATCTGAAATTAAATTTGACTTAATAGGCATGTCTATCCAACACGCGTCATCACGTTCAATAGCTGCGCAATGGTTTTTAGTCATGTAACTGTTGTAAAAAAATTTTTCATAAAAAACGTTTTAATAACAAGCTTTTATGTACCAATGCACTAAAAAGTAGAAAATATATTATAGACTACTATAAAGAAAAGCGTGGCTCACTTTAGTATCTATTGGATACCTTTACTAATGAAATTGTGTTTTTCTTTCTTATTTCTTCAGCTGTCCGAATACTCTCTACTCCCACATATTCTCATTGTTCGTTGATTAGTGTTTTTATTATGTTTTAACTTGTGTTTCATTACAGTATATAATTTGTCATAAAATAATTTAATAACTTCTAATATTTGTGGATGGAACTCGAGAGCCGCCATTTGACATCAGGAGCCGCATGCGGCTCGAGAGCCGCAGGTTGCCGACCCCTGATCTAAATTAAATAATTCAACCCACTTAGCTTACCATAATTTTTTAAAAGGTTTAGCTAAGTATTCAGCTCTCTATGTCAGCTAAGGCTCATTGTAATTATCCTAATGTTAGATCTATTAATTATTTAATAGCCTAATTTGGCCTGATTATAGGAATTAAGTCTGATACCTTGTCCTATACATAGGTCGTAGTATATTATTGGGCTATTATATAGTATATTATTGGGCTAGTAATTATTTACAGTATCTATACAGGCCGACATTGATTTGAAAGTCAGTGCATTGACCTTAGTTATAGTTTGTTATGATTTTCAGATGTAGCAGCCTAATTTTTTATCAGATTATACCATAAAATTAACAAACTATTGATTGGTTTATGGACCATTTTTAGCAGATGACGTTGAGTTCGTAAAAATGGTGATAAAAATGTTTTGTTTTTAAATTAATAGTAATCAGCAAAAAATGTTGAACTTTTAAATTATATATTTTCGTAGGCTGTTGCTCGTAATTTTTAAACTCCACTAATTTCAAATAAAATTATACCACAAAAAAACAGTATTTTTTTCCCTACACATTGATACCAATTTTGTGTCTCTAGCTTAATTAGGAGCTAAGATATGGCCTTTTAAAAATTTGTGGGCGTGGCTAAAACAGCTTAGACCTTCGTCATTCAAGTCAATGTTACATAAACAAAAAAGTTGGCACCGATGTTTTTTTCATTGCATCATCACGGATTCGCATTTTTCGAAAAATTAAAAAATTATAATTTTATTGCATCATCCGGGATTCGCATTTTTTAAAAACTAAAAAATTATAATCAAGCTTAAAGCCTAAGTTATACTGGACTGGATGTGATTTGAATGAGTAATTACATGCCATTGTCAGCCTCATAACATATTGACTTATTGCTCCATGTACAAAAAAAAAATTAATGTAGGTTTAAAATAAAACTATATCTAGTTATTGTAAAACGAATTATTAATATTTAATACTGTTACTACACTACTATTATTATATTATAGAAATGCACAAGCACATATTACTGCACACGTTCTTATTGTAATGAACGATATTACTTGGGTAGATGAAGTAGAGTAGACCTACATACACACACACACTACATGATAAATGAAAGTTGCAACTGGTTGCCTTGACGTTACTTTCTCAGACCCCCCCCCCCCCTTTGTACTTGATATCAGTGTCTATATCAGTAGGCCATAATAAAATTATAGAATAAAAAGGAAACAGCTGTCAAAGTGTGTACCAGTATTTATTTATTACTAGTAAATAATTCAATGTAACAATACTGACAATACAGACATTTCAATGTTTGCTAAAAGAAATATAAATTATTAAAATACAGTAATCAGATCACCACATGAATTTTGATTTTGTCTAATAAAATGTTTATCAGAGCAAAGAAATAAATTACATAGCGACAACCTAAA